TCCATTTATACACTTCAATCATTCTTTCTTTATTTCAACACACAAGCCGTATCCCACTGAGGCGGGGTGGCCCAAAAGGACAAACAAAAGTTTCTCCTTTTAAATTTAGTAATATATACAGGAGAAGGGGTTACTAGCCCTTGCTCCTGGTATTTTAGTCGCCTCTTACGGCACGCATGGCTTACGAAGGAAGAATTCTGTTCCACTTCCCCATGGAAATAAGAAGAAATAAACAAGAACTAGAAAAAAAATAAAAGAAAACCCAGAGGGGTATGTATATATATGCTTGTACATGTATGTGTAGTGTGACCTAAGTGTAAGTAGAAGTAGCAAGATGTACCTGAAATCTTGCATGTTTATGAGACAGAAAAAGGGACACCAGCAATCCTACCATCATGTAAAACAATTACAGGCTTTTGTTTTACACTCACTTGGCAGGACGGTAGTACCTCCCTGGGCAGTTGCTGTCTACCAACCTATTACCTAGAACACCTCAATCATACCCCTCCCTAATTCTCCGCCTTTCTAGTGAGTGCAGATACAGGGCCCTCAGTCTATCCTCATAGGGAAGATTTCTGATACATGGGATCAACTTTGTCATCCTCCTTTGTACGTTTTCCAGTGCATTTATATCCATTCTGTAATACGGTGACCAAAACTATGCAGCATAATCTAAATAAGACCTAACCAAAGATATATAGAGTTGAAGAACAACCTGAGGACTTCTATTATTTATATTTCTTGATATGAAGCCAAGAATTCTGTTAGCTTTATTGCGAACACTATAGATTACTACACTACACTATAGATTACACTACAGATTACTACTAATCAGAACTCCTAAATCCTTTTTGCAATCCATAATATTAAGATCTACATTATTTAGTTTATATGTGGCATGGTTATTTTCCTGTCCAACATTTAGAACTTTGCATTTGTCTATATTAAACTGCATCTGCCACTTCTCCGACCACTGCATGAGTCTATTCAAATCATCCTGGAGTGCTCTAATGTCCACATTAAAATGAATTGGATGGCCTATTTTGGTGCCATCAGCAAATTTGCTTATGTCGCTATTTATTCTCTCATCTATGTCGTTTATGTAGATTGTGAACAACAAGGGGCCCAACACTGACCCCTGTGGAACACTGCTTGTGACGTGCCCCCATTCTGATTTCTCCCCATTTATGCAAACTCTCTGCTGCCTATTCGTCAACCATGCCTCACCCCAGGAAAAAATTTCTCCTCCTATTCCGTGTGCCTTAAGTTTCCTCAATAGCCTCTGATGTGGAACTCTATCGAAAGCCTTACTGAAGTCCACGTACACAATATCATATTCATTGCCATGATCTACCTCCTCAAATACCTTAGTGAAAAAAGTAAATTCGTAAGACAGGAATGCCCCTTTGTAAAACCGTGCTGAGATTCGTTAATCAATTTATACCTTTCGAGATGGCTACAAACTGCTTCGGCAATTACTGATTCCATAAATTTTCCCACTATGGAGGTAAGGCTTATTGGTCTATAGTTCGAAGCTAAGAACCTGTCACCTGCCTTGTAAATAGGTATTACATTTGCCATTTTCCACTTATCAGGCACTATGCCAGTCTGTAGTGATATGTTAAAAAGATTAGCCAAAGGTATGCTAAGTTCCTCTTTACATTCCTTTAACACCCTTGTAAACAGTTCATCAGGGCCTGGGGATTTGTTAGCTTTTAATTTCTCTACTTGTCTGAGGACCATGTCACTAGTTACCACAATTGTGCATAGTTTATTATCGTCCTGTTCTACATAATTTATTATTTCTGGAATTTCGCTAGTATCTTCCTGAGTAAAAACTGAGAGGAAGTAAGAATTGAAAATTTCACACACATCCTTATCACTGTCAGTGATTTGACCTGAGTTAATCTTAAGTGGGCCTATCCTGTCCGTAATCTTACTTCTGTATACCTGAAAGAACCCTTTTGGGTTAGTCTTCGAAGCCCTTGCGACCTTAGCCTAATAATCCCTTTTTGCTTTTCTTATTCCTTTTTTTTATTTCTCTCTTTAATTGAATATACTGATTTCTTAACTGCCCCTCCCCTCTTTTGATATGCCTATATATGCCTCTCTTTTGACCAATGCTCTGAACTATGCTCTGAAAAACAATATATTGACAACCAAGACCACCTACCTGATCCATAGTCATTACATCCCAATTTAGCCCACCCAGGTAATTTTTCAGTCCCATGAAATCGGCCAAGCAAAAGTCTGGGACAGAGATTTGGTTGTAGGTATCCGGGTAACTCCATGATATATTGAAACTAAGTGATTTATAATCACTCTCCCCTAGCTCATCATTAACCTCAAGATTATTAACTAGTGACTCTGTTGGCAAGAACCAAGTCAAGTAGATTGTTTCCTCTAGTTGGTTCTGTCACAAACTGTTTTAAAAAGCAATCCTGAACTGCATCAAGAAAGTCACTAGACTCAAGATTTCCTGTCACACTGTTCCAGTCAATTTGTATAAAGTTCAAATCTCCCATTAACACAACATTTTCATATCCAGATGCCTTATGAATTTTCTCACAGCAGCTTACTGCACTCTCTATCAAGGTTTGGTGGCCTATAAACCACACCCAAAATTAACTTTTCGCGACCCTCGAGAAACTGTAGCCAAACAGATTCTGTGTCCGATGCTTCTAATGTCATATCTTGTCTAACAAAACAATTTAAATTATCTCTGACATACATCGCCACTCCACCACCCTTCCTGTTGACCCTATCAGTATGGAATAGTTTATAACCCTGTATGTTGCATTCAGAGGGCATTTCTCTATCTTTCAAGTTGAACCAGGTCTCTGTTATAGCAATAATATCTATATTACCTACACTTGCAAGTAATCTTAGCTCATCTATCTTATTTCTTAGACTCCTACTATTTGTATAGTAAACCTTAAGGGAAAAAAAAATATTGTCTTTTAAACATATCCCTGAGGTATCCTGGTTATATCTGATGTTTTCAACCCTAGTACTGCAGCCTGATTGTTTCCCATGGACAAACATACCTCTATTCAATTCAATTCAATTCAAAGTTTATTCTCTATAAAGATTACAATGTTGAATTTACAGAATTTGGTTGCTGTGTGGTTTACATGTAGTTAAATAATGATTACAGAGTGTACCACTAGAACGCCTAGCATGGCTAGGCATTTCGGGCAGACTTAGTTTAATTCTTTATTTTAAAATATTACAAATTGAGGTAAGTTGGTATTATGGCTAAGTGACTAAATACTAGTTTGTGAGTTTAGCAATGTAAATGCTTTTGTTTTGGCACAGTACATAGTTTCAGTATTGGAGTATCATAGGATTCATTATTTTAAGATTGAGATTAATATTTCTGTTTATGGTCAAATGGGCGAGTGAGTGTAAGTGTGAACCACCAGGTGGTATTCGTGTAGTTAGTTAGTTGATGGGGTGTATCAGGGAGATAAGATGTTTTCTAATGGTAGTTTTGAAGGTGATGAATGTGTCTGCAGTTCTAGAGTTCTCAGGTAGGGTGTTCCAGATTTTAGGGCCTTTGACATACATTGAATTTTTGTAAAGGTTTAGTCGGACACGGGGAATGTCGTAGAGATGTTTGTGTCTGGTGTTATGCCTGTGGGTTCTGTCACAACTATCAAGAAAGCGTTTTAGGTCAAGGTTGATATTGGAGTTTAAGGTTCTGTAGATGTAGATTGCAGTTTCAAGTCCTAGACAAGTCATCAATGACCCCTTCAATTGAATTGGCTAATGCAACCACTCCAGCCCCAGAGAGATGAACCCCATCCCTTGCATACATATCATGCTTGCCATAGAATTTGTCCCAGTTATCAATGAATGGGAGTGCAAGATCCTTGCAGTACCTGTCTAGCCAGCAATTTATACCAATTGCCCTAAACATCCATTCATTGCCCACTCCCTTTCTAGGCAAGATGCTACATATGATTGGGATCCCTCCCTTAGATCTGACTACATCTATGGCTGACCTATACTTATCCAGCAGCTCCTGTCTTCTGCCATTCCCGATGTCATTTCCACCAGCACTAAGATAATGGGCTTGTTCCCATTGCCTGACATAATATTATCCAACCTGCTGACTATGTCACCAACACCAGCTTCTGGGAGACGCACCCTCTATCTGACCTTTCTATCACTGTTACAAAAAGCATGGTCCATATATCTTACCTGAGAATCTCCTACAATCAAAATATTCTTACTTTGATAAGCAGGGGAGTCAGTGGTACCTTTAACCTCACTAACAACTGAAGTACACTCGTCCTGGAGAACAGAGAATTGATTTCCTACCTTCACATCTTCTCTATTAACCTTCCTTATCATCCTTCTTCCTGAATTGTGAACCACTTGCCACTTAAAGTGGCTGCCACTCTCCAAATCACTGCTGGTAACTTTTTCCTCCTCACCAGCTACAACCATCTCACACTCACTCCCACACCCATCTAAATGAAGCTTCAGCCTCCTATTTTCCTCCTGAAGAAGTAGAATCTCTTTCTTCAACACTTTAGCCTGAGATTTTAAAACACTACAATAAGCCATGGTGCTAGGTAACACCCCACGCTAATCCCAGACAGCTTAGGACAGGTATGACCACACGTGATCACTGACCTCAGCGTATAATTTCAGTTTGATTGTTGATGATGTATGAGTATGTCTGCAAAAAATTCAAATTTATTCACATTATTTGCACTGTGAAAATGATCTGGATCTAAAGCACTAAATTTGGAAGCCACATTTTTAAAATGCTTAAATCTTTTTTCTGTGCTATTTATAATAAAATTTAAGGACACTAAGTAGGATTCAACTATGAATTTCTTTCGAGCATCAAAAATTCCTTGCAATCTCAGTATGCACATAGGTAGAATAATGAGACATTATAGGTAAAGAGGAAATCTGCCAGGCACAAGAAAAAAAAAATAAAGGTAAATATCTATTGTCAGACAGAAATCAAAAGGTACACTTACCCAAACAGAATTGATTATTGTTTCCTTTATGCCTGAAGTCTTGTCACTTTTTATGAGAGAAAATACACTCTTGAAACCATCTGATGACATAATTGCTGCAATTATTCCCCCAAGTGCACCACCTGCAAGAATGTTAAAAACCAGAATTTTTATGCCATTTTCAAAAATAAAACAAAAATTGAGTTTCATTAACATATTTACCAATGCTTCTGTAATCAAAATACAGTACAGTACGACCCCGCTTTACAGTGTTTCACCTTACAGCATTCCGCTAATATGGACATTTCAAATTATGACCAAAACTCTCTATATGGCTCCCCCACCTGACTTTCTAATATGGTCACCGTGCACCACCCGGTTTGTTTACATTCTCCATGAGCTCTGCATCTCTCCATTATGTCTAGAAACTTTCCAGAATTTCAAGCGTTTTAAAGTTATTTCATGTTTTATATATACTCTGATAATTATGCTTGTGTGTACAGTAGGGCCCCACTTTACGGCGTTCCGCTAATACGGCAATTTCAAATTATGACCAAAATTTGCTATACGGCAAGCGATCTTTCAAATACAGCACGCCCCACCAGGTTTGTTTACATTCTCCATCTAATCTTAAGTAGACTGTAAGCACTAGGATAAGTCTGCCCAAAATGCACAGCATGCTAGTGGCTTTCTTTTGTGCTTGACAATATTTTATTACATGTAAATTATATTTTGTATACTGCACAAAAAAAATAAAAATTTGTTTTTTTTGTTTGTTTGTTTGTTTGTATGGAGGAAGTGAATGTGTTAAGATATCTGGGAATGGACATGTCAACAGATGGGTCTATGAAAGACGAGATGAATCATAGAACTGATGAGGGAAAAAAGGTAAGTGGTACACTGGGAGCATATGGAACAAAGAATGTTATAAGCAAAGAGAGAATATATGAAAGTATAGCAGTACTAATGCTCTTATATGGGTTTGAAGCATGGGTAAGAAAGTTTATTCAGGTATACACAAATACAGTTACTTAGATTATCATACATAGCAGCATATGTGTAGAGAACCTATGATAACCCAAAAAAGTCAGAGTAACTTATTTCTATTAGGGTGGTGAATGTTGCTGGAGGCAGTGGAGATGTTGTGTCTGAGGGCAATGTGTGGTGTGAATATTATGCAGAGAATTCATAGCTTGGAGATTAGGAGAAGGTGTGGGGTTACTAAAAGTATTATTCAAGGGGCTAAAGAGGGGTTAATGAAGTGGTTTGGACATTTAGAGAGATGGAACAAAATCTGAGTGACTTGGAGGGTGTATAAATCTGTAGTGGAAGGTAGGTTAGAGGTCGTCCTAGGAAATGTTGGAGGGAGGGGGTAAAGGAGGTTTTGTGTGCAAGGGGCTTAGACTGCTAGCAAGCATGCATGAGTGTGTTAGATAGGAGTGGAGGCAAATGGTTCTTATGACTTGGCATACTGTTGGAGAGTGAGTAAGGTTACATTTATGAAAGGCTTTGGGGAAACAGGTTAGTAGGATTTGAAGACTGGAGGTGGGAAGTACAGTGTCTGCACTCTGAAGAATGGGTGCTGTTATATTGCAGTGTTTTAACTATAGTAAAAAAACCATACCACGGGCGAGGATATCCCTGCCAGTGGTATGGTTTGTTTGCAATCGTGTCATTACGATTTCATGAGTCATTTTAACTATAGTATTTGCATGCCTCTGGCAAGACATTGATGGAGCCACATCACAAAAGCTATCACCGCTACTCATACATAACTTTTCCCCTCCTCACCTTGAAAAGCTATCACCACTACAAACCATAAAAAAGTGTCACCACTGCACACCATACAAAACTACCCCCATTACACATACAAAACTATCACTGCAACACATACCAATCTATTACCAGTACACACGAAACAAAAACTATCACTACTACACAACCACAGTCTGGTGATGTTTCTTCTTTTTCGGGTCACCCTGCCTCGGTAGGAAGCTGCCGATGTGCTAAAAAAAAAAAAAAACAGAGGTGTACTGGTTTGGCAATACGGATGCAGATAAGTGAAACTAACTCCCAGATAATGTTGTTGGAGTGAGAACTTTGGATAACTCTAAATATAGGCTGGATGATTTTATGAGTAGGTGTGGTTGGGTGTGAGTCTGGCCTGCCTAGCACGGGCATTGTGCCCTTTTATTCTTTATTGGCCAATAGGTCTACTGTTGTCTTCCTTTATTCTTCTTTTATGTTCTAAGTACATACTTGCCTACCTGAAAATATATTGCCCTCTAGTGTTTTAGAGAACTCTCAGTACTCTGTATTGATACAGAAATAATTGCTGACATCCAATCTAGTATTTGGCTTGAAGAACATAAGAAAGAAGGAACACTGCAACAGGCCTACTGGCCCATGCGAGGTTGGTCCAATTCTCCCACCAGCTTAAGCCAATGCCTTGAACCTAGTCAGGTCAGTCACAGTCACTTTAGGAAGGAGCACAGCATCCGACCTAGTAGCACAAGCTAGTCAGGTCCAACTCACACCCACTCATGTATTTATTCAACCTATTTTTAAAACTATACAACGTCTTAGCTTCTATGATGGTACACGGGAGTTTGTTCCACTCATCCACAACTCTATTATCAAACCAGTGCTTTCCTATATCCTTCCTGAGTCTGAATTTTTCCAGTTTAACCCTTTCAGGGTCGACAGGCCCTCTCCCAGACTTGTTCTCAGGGTTGACAAATTTAAAAAAAAAAAAAAAAAAAAAAAAAAAAAAAAAAAAAAAAAAAAAAAAATTATTTTTTTCTTATGAAAAGATAGAGAATCTTTTCCCAATCATAATGACACCAAAAGTATGAAATTTGATGGAAAACTTACGGAATTATGCTCTCGCGAAGTTAGCGGTCTCAACGATGTTTATGCATCGGCGACTTTGCCCACTTTGAGCCCTATTTTCGGCCAATTCCAGTGTACTAGTCGACAAAAATCATAACTATTTCGCTAGAACTCCATTTTTTCTATCGAATGAGTACAAGAAACCACCCATTTACCGATTTCAACTATCCAATAAAGTGGTCAGAATTTAGCAATTTTGCCAATTTCACATAAATTTCAAAAGATGCCAATTTCCAAATAGGGTCCAGAATAAACAAGAAAGACATTCCTGGCACTAAAATAACATTTCCTCTGTTCATTAGTCACGTCCCCATGCCCCTCTTACATTCTTTTGCTTTCCACTTTGAATTTTTATTCTCACAAAAAATAGAAGATTTACTGTTATGCAGACTACTGCATTAGTGTAGAAATGGTATAAATAATATCAGTGCACTCGTGAAAGAATATTAGACTCACCAGTTAACGTGTATTGGACGTGTAGCGTGATTTGTTTACTTTTGAACTTTGGCAAAAATCGAAGATTTCTGCTACTTTGAGTTCAATTTAACCCCTTGACTGTCGCAACCCCCAATCCTGAGGTGTCTCCTGGTGTCGCAAAATTTAAAAAAAAAAATTATTTTTTCTTATGAAATGATAGAGAATCTTTTCCCGATTGTAAAGATACCAAAAAAAAACGAAATTTGATGGAAAACTGAAGGAATTATGCTCTCGTGAAGTTAGCGACCTCGGCGATATTTACAAATCGGCGATTTTGCCCACTTTGAGCCCTATTTTCGGCTAATTCCGTTGTTCCTGTTGACCAAACTCATAGCTATTTCTTTAGAACTCTATTTTTTTCTATCGATTGAGTACAAGAAACTGCCCATTTACCGATTTCAACTACCCAATAATGTGGTCAGAAATTTGCAATTTGGCCAATTTCACGAAAACTAAAAAATATGACAATTTCAAAATATGGTCCAGAATGAACAATGCAGACATTCCTGGCTCTAAAATAACATATTCTTTGTTCATCAGTCATGTCTCCAGGCCCCTCTGATATTACTCTTGCTTTCTATTTTGAATTTTTATTCAAACAAAAAATAGAAGACTTACTATTATGCAGACTACTGCAATACTGTAATAATTGTATAAATAACATCAACCCATTCATTACTGCATATTAGAATGGCTAGTTGGACATTTATTGGACAATGACACCATTTGTTTACTTTTGAACATTGGCAAAAATCAAACATTTCCCCTACTTTGAGCTCCATTTCAAGGTTCTTTTTATAGTAAAATCAATCAAAATCACCTCTATTTCTATAATATGTTCTCCATTCTATCAAGAGACCAAGAAAACGAGAATAGAACCATAAATACTATACGAAAATAGACCACAAAGTCGGCATTTTAATTAAAAAAAACGGTTGGAGTTTTTTTTTCTCATTATGCACTGCGTGCTCCAGGATTTTTTTTATATGGTGCACACTGACCACACAGACCCATTCTCTCACATGTGGGCCTACCAGCTTTCTCCTGCTTGATTTGAAGCCGCTAGAATTTATGAGTAGTGTATACATGTATATACGTCAAACATGGTACCTCGTAAGACGTATATATACGGCCGCAACAGTCAAAGGGTTAAAGGTACTTTTATTGTAAAACCAATCAAAATCATCTCAATTTCTGTAATATGTCTTCCATTCTATAAAATGAGACCAGGAAAACTAGAATACCATCATAAATACCATACGAAAATACAGTGCAAAGTCGCTGTTTTAAACCAAAAACACTGTCAAAGTTTTTTTTTTCTCATTACGCACTGTGTGCTGCAGGGCTTTTTTTATACTGCACACACTGACCACAAAGACCCATTCTTTCATATGTAGGCCTACCAGCTTTCTCTCACTAGATTTGAGGGCGCTAGAATTTAGGCTTACTTGTACGTCAAAAACCCTGATGTGTAAGCCGTACTAGTACGTCAGAAACCCTGAAAGGGTTAAAACCATTGCTGAGAGTCCTGTCTATGCTAGATATCTTTAGCACACTATTTCATCCCCTTTATTAATTCCTGTTTTCCACTTATACACCTCAATCATATTCCCCTTAATTCTATGCCTTTTCAGTGTGTGTAGATTCAAGGCCCTCAGTCTATCCTCATAGGGAAGATTTCTGATACATGGGATCAACTTTGTCATCCTCCTTTGTATGTTTTCCAGTGCATTTATATCCATTCTGTAATATGGAGGAGGTGATTGGTCTATGTTAGCTCATCAACATTTTATTATAGATATCGTCACTTATGAATGAGGCAATTAAGAACCAATTAAAGTTTTACTACTGCCAAACCACCATACAAACATGTACAAAATACGGAAACTCCTGGTACAACACTATCGCTTATTAGACAAAATCTTTTATACACTTTAAAACACTATGCTTTTATCTAACAGTTCCCGAATAAATATATCAATCAGTATTAAACTATATGAAAACATACCCACAGCCACTCCAATAGGTCCACCAATCAGGCCACCAAAAGTTGCAGCTCCACTAGCAATTAATCCACCACTGACGCTCTCCTTCATGGCGGTACGTAGCTGCTCTTTTTCACATAGGTCATCGACTAGAGTTCCTACTGCAGCTTTGCTGATTACCATTGTGTTATTTTACTGTACTACCTGGAAAAAAGAAGTGAGGTCTTTAACGGGTCTCATAATAGGAATGTTTATTAATGGTAATAATAAAGAAATTACAGTAAAAGTAATGGACAGCCCACCTACAGGATGCAACCTGCAATAACTGACTAATACTCAGCAGAATTTGATGATTTCCAAATTCATTTTCCCCATAAGAAATAACGTAAATCCAATTAATCCATTCAAGACACCCAAAAGTATTAAAAAAATAATTTTTTTACATGAAATATACATTTACCTACACAGAAAACAATGAGACATGAAGAATAAAACAATAATAACATAACGCTTACCTTTACTCTTCTTAGTGTATTGAAGAAGGAAGGAGGGGAGAAGATGGAGAAATTATTGTTTGGAAGGGGAATCCCCTTCCATAAAGGCTTCAGGTATCAAGTTCTTTTTCTGGGGTTACCTCCCTTCTTTGATTTTAATGCCACTAGGACCAGCTTGAGAGTCACTGGACCCTTGTCGCTCAAAAAAGTGTTCTAGGGAGGCCTGTTTCCGGCGTATGTTAGGAATTGTGGCGGGGGCAGGGGAGTGTGTTTGGAGACGGGACAAGATACTCCTTCAATATGACACTAATATCAACTCTACGGCTTATTTATCTAGCACAGTTCATCTAATATGACATAATAAACAATACTAATAAATAGGAACATGATATATACCTTAGAATGAATAAAATAAGTCATTACGTATGTGATGAGTGGTGTTGTGTTGTTTGTTGTTGGGTGTACAAGGGCCACTGAAAGATAAGCCTTACATAGTGGTGGTGACGGCAGCAGCAGAGACGGCGGTGCTGTCAGTCGCCCTACATAACTCCAACAACACTGGAGGAGTCAGTTTTGTGCTGTTCTTTTTTCTATCGATTAATCGCTTAACTTACAGTGGACCCTCGGGTAACGATGACATCGGCTAGCGATAAAATCGGATATCGATGCGTCTTTGCATAAAAATATTGGCTCGGCCAACGATGAAAAACTCGGTTAGGGGCATTCGTCCCGAATGCGTCTGCCTGTCTGTCTGGCCTGAGCGCCTCAGCTGCCCTGCCTTCAGCTAGTGTGCCATTGTTTGCAAGCCAGGGCGGACGGTTCCACGCATACACTCAATACATTTTGTATTATTCCATTGTTTTTCTTTGGGCCATCATGGGCCCAAAGAAAGCTTCTAGTGCCAACCCTGTGGTAAAAAGGGTGAGAAATACTATCAAAATACTATCGTACCACGGTCAGCTGCTGCTGCACCACTGTCAGCTGCTGCTGCACCACTGTCAGCTGCTGCTGTACCACAGTTAGCTGCTGCTGTACCACTGTCAGCTGTTGCTGCACCACTGTCAGCTGCTGCCGCACCACCGTAAGCTGTACTATTCGAAGACGTGGAGAGACTGTTGTTGGTGTGACCTAACGAGAAGCAATTACACGTACTGAGAAACAATTAACCCCAGAGGGTTAGCCACCCAAGATAACCCAAAAAAGTCAGTGTGTCATCGAGGACTGTCTAACTTATTTCCATTGGGGTCCTTAATTTTGTCCCCCAGGATACGACCCACACCAGTCAACTAACTCCCAGGTGAACAGGAAAAAATGCCTGGAACTAGTGCTCATATTGGTGAATTTAAGGCCACCAAAGGTTGGTTTGAGAGATTTAAGAACTGTAGTGGCATACAGTGTGATAAGGCATGGCGATGCTGAAAAATTCCAACCCCAACAAGTGTTCAATTGTGACAAAACAGGCCTGTTCTGGAAGAAAATGCCAAACAGGACCTACATTACTCAGGAGGAAAAGGCACTCCCAGGACACAAGCCTATGAAAGACAGGCTAACTTTCTTGTTTTGTTATAATGCTAGTGGGGGTTGCAAAGTGAAGTCTTTACTCATGTATCACTGTGAAAATCCCAGAGTGTTCAAGAAAAACAGTGTCTCATCACTCAACAGTACTCTTCAATAAAGGTAAGTGTCATTTTAGTATTTATTTATGTATTTATTGTGCATGTCTCGTTGTTTTCTGTGTAGAGAAATGTATATTTCATGTAAAAAAAATTATTTTTTTAATACTTTTGGCTGTCTGGAACAGATTAATTGGATTTCCATTACAATTTGAACAACTATAATGCTTCTTATTTGAAACACTCATTTGTACTTCTTGTTGTAATATGTTTACTGTAATTTTTACCGCTGAATATATCATTGCTTAGTTAATAAGATACTTACTCTTTAATAATTTCTGTATTACCATTTATTCCTACTTAAGCATTGTTATGCTTCTTCTATAATCTTACCAAATTTTCCCTCTGCTCCTAAACTACAAATAACAAACTAGTGTATGCTCCTACTACACTACAGTGCAGTTCCTTGCACCATCTTCCACTAGCTAGTATCAACTACCTCAAATAATATTTCTTTAGCGATATTAACTGCTCAAACTTTGTTACAAGGCAAATCCTACTCTCAGATTAATTTCATATTATAGTGTCAATCTATTTAAACGTTGTTTTTTACCACTACTTAATTTAGTCCCTTTTTACATTTCTCCTGAAATAATTCTCTATATACCAATACATTGTACTGCCCTTTATTCAGTAATTGCTATACTCCTAGTTCTAACAACAATTAAAGAGCAACTTTCAGGAGATTTAATATTTTTTTCCCTGTTGTCCATATAGTCACATTTATTACAATACTTCAGGTGCTGTTGACTACCTCAGGTGCTACTGACTACCTCAGGTGCTACTGACTACCTTAGGTGCTACTGACTACCTCAGGTGCTACTGACTACCTCAGGTGCTACTGACTACCTCAGGTGCTACTGACTACCTCAGGTGCTACTGACTACCTCAGGTGCTACTGACTACCTCAGGTGCTACTGACTACCTTAGGTGCTACTGACTACCTCAGGTGCTACTGACTACCTCAGGTGCTACTGACTACCTCAGGTGCTACTGACTACCTCAGGTGTTGTTGACTACCTCAGGTGTTGTTGACTACCTCAGGTGTTGACTACCTCAGGTGCTGTTGACTACCTCAGGTGCTACTGACTACCTCAGGTGCTACTGACTACCTCAGGTGTTGTTGACTACCTCAGGTGCTGTTGAATACCTCAGGTGCTACTGACTACCTCAGGTGCTATTGACTACCTCAGGTGTTGACTACCTCAGGTGCTGTTGACTACCTCAGGTGCTACTGACTACCTCAGGTGCTGTTGACTATCTCAGGTGCTACTGACTACCTCAGGTGCTACTGACTACCTCACGTGCTACTACCTCAGGTGCTGTTGAATACCTCAGGTGCTACTGACTACCTCAGGTGTTGTTGACTACCTCAGGTGCTGTTGACTACCTCAGGTGCTGTTGACTACCTCAGGTGCTACTGACTACCTCAGGTGCTACTGACTACCTCAGGTGCTACTGACTACCTCAGGTGCTGTTGACTACCTCAGGTGCTGTTGACTACCTCAGGTGCTGTTGACTACCTCAGGTGCTGTTGACTACCTCAGGTGTTGTTGACTACCTCAGGTGCAGTTGACTACCTCAGGTGCTACTGACTACCTCAGGTGCTACTGACTACCTCAGGTGTTGTTGACTACCTCAGGTGCTACTGACTACCTCAGGTGCTACTGACTACCTCAGGTGCTACTGACTACCTCAGGTGCTACTGACTACCTCAGGTGCTGTTGACTACCTCAGGTGCTACTGACTACCTCAGGTGCTGACTACCTCAGGTGCTACTGACTACCTCAGGTGCTACTGACTACCTCGGGTGCTACTGACTACCTCGGGTGCTACTGACTACCTCAGGTGCTGTTGACTACCTCAGGTGTTGTTGACTACCTCAGGTGCTGTTGACTACCTCAGGTGCTACTGACTACCTCAGGTGCTGCTGATTACCTCAGGTGCTGCTGATTACCTCAGGTGCTACTGACTACCTCAGGTGCTACTGACTACCTCAGGTGCTACTGACTACCTCAGGTGCTACTGACTACCTCAGGTGCTACTGACTACCTCAGGTGCTGTTGACTACCTCAGGTGCTGTTGACTACCTCAGGTGCTACTGACTACCTCAGGTGCTACTGACTACCTCAGGTGCTGTTGACTACCTCAGGTGCTACTGTCTACCTCAGGTGCTACTGACTACCTCAGGTGTTAACTACCTCAGGTGCTACTGACTACCTCAGGTGCTACTGACTACCTCAGGTGCTACTGACTACCTCAGGTGCTACTGACTACCTTGTTTTAATACATTCTTGTTTTTAATACATTTTTTTATTATTATATTCACTAGCTCCTTTATTCTAGCTGTAAATATCTACCGTAGTCCATAAACTCACATTTGCTGAAATAATTAAGATCCTATTAGATGCTTAATTATCTGTACTGTAATAATCCCTTTTTTCTTTTAAATTTGTATAAGATTTAGAATAATTACAGAGTCTTATTCATAAGTCTAGTTGTAGAAACAATATAACTCTTATTTATTTTACTCAGAAAATCTAGTTTGTAAAATTACTCTCATCCTATGATTACAGACATAGATCCTGATGTAAACTTTTTGCTAAATGAAATACACGAATCAAACAGCAACTGTAATTACTATACAGCAGACCAAGCAAAGACATTACTCAGTGTAAACAATAACATAACCATCTTTAACTACAATATCAGATCCTTGAGCAACCATTATGATCACCTCACAGCATTACTCAATTCCCTTCATTCCAAAATATCAATCATCACACTCAGAGAAACCTGAAACCAGAGCCTTACGATTATGGAAGGACCACTGTATCTGTTACTTTCCCTGACAATTTCCATCAGGGAAACCTTGGTTTTTGTATGTCCTAGTTGGAGAAAATTCTCTGTAAAATGTAGTTTTTGTTAATATTTTTGGGTGTCTGGAACGAATGAATTGGTTCTGTTCCAGGCACCGTAAAATATTAACAAAAAATACATTTTATAAAGAATTTTCTCCAAGAATTTTCTCCAACTAGGGCATACAAAAACCGAGGTTCCACTGTAACCCAGTTCACCCTATTCCTAGTACATATATCTTCTTTTATTGTAAGTGATTTTCACACAGCTGAGTTACTTACCTGTTTTAACTTCTAGGGCATAAAGTATGAGATATTACAAGGACCCCAATAAGACTATCTCCTGCTAATTGTTTCTCATTTATCCACACAAATACTAACTTCTCAACATCTTCGAGCACTGGTGAAATACATAAGTCACTGTAAATACATAAGCCACTTTGATGTTTTTTGAGTTAACCTAGGCAATTAACACAATCCCGCAACTGGCAGCCAGCGGGAGGGCTGGCTGCCAGTTGCGGGGCTCAGAGGGAGGGTAGTAGGGGCTCGCGGGCGGCGGAGAGAAACTTAAATATGATTTGGCGCCTGGGAATTTGGCGGTTGGGAATTTGGAGGTTAGGAATTCGCGAATATGTGAAGCCCGCGAAAGTTAAAACGCAAATGTTGAGGGAGACCTGAATACTTCCTTCTTCCTCCTCCTCCTTCCTTCTTCTATACTCCCGTGTATCCAAAACACTGCTGGGACCTATAAATACTTCCTAGACAATAGTAAATGACCAAGGCAGGTGTAAATGACCACCTGTCAATGTGTTTGACAATTTGAGTACAATTTCAGTACCTAAAATTAGTGCCAGAAGAAAAATTGGTTATGAAATGCCAAGAACTACAATAAATTGTCATTATCAGAACATAAAAAATATACAAAATAATATAGAAATGATAAAAAATGGTATACTGGCATCACTTCCTCAAGCGGCAGGACTCAATGTTGCCGTCATGTGAGCATTAAGTGCCAACTTTGCAGCCTCATATCTCAGTAAGTACTGGCCCTAATTTTTTTATTTTAATCCTATAACACTTAGAAAAATGTTCTCTTTATTAAAATGATTTTTTTTTTTTTTTATTTTTCAAAATATCTGGGGCACTGAGGGAGAGAACGTATATATACGTTTGAACCGTTTAGGAGTTAATAAGACCAAGGGTTGATGCTAAATTAATTTTTTTTATGATTGGGACTCAAATTTCATTATTTGAAGAATTTGATATAACCCTAAGACCACTGAACTTTGAAAAAGCTTTTAATGACATGCCTATGCACTCTGTCCCAAGCCCAGACTTGTGGAACTCCGTGTTCATCAAGACCTGCAAGAAACCCCTTTCGCATGCCTTATTCTAGAGAGGGAGCCTAGACACTGGGTTCATCCCACACTAAAAGCAACAGATATATCCCCACTCCACAAAGCAGGCAGTAAAGCAATTGAAATGAATTATAGACCAATACCACAAATGTCTCACATTATAAAAATCTCTGAAAGGGGTCTAAGAAGCAAGACTGCCAACCAAATGGATACCCAACAATTGCACAACCCAGGGCAGCATGGGTTTAGAGCAGTTCACTCCTTCCTTTTACAAGCTCCTCTCTTCTATGTGCGGGTTATTTGTGTATTGTGTACTGGGCTACTCTGGCATGGTCTTGGATGCACTGGGGAAAAAACAGAATTCAGATGTAGTATACAAAGATTTTGCGAAAGCCTTATACAAGTGTGATCATGGTGTAATAGCAAACAAAATGCATGATAAAAGAATAACAGGAAAAGTGGCTAGATGGATCTTGAACTTCGTAACCAACAGAACACAGAGTACATGTGATAGTATTAGTAATTAGTATTAGTCTGTCCGAAATGCCTAGGCATGCTAGTGGCCTTCTTGGTAATTAATATTTTATAACATGTAAACCACACATTGTATGATTTACAAGGAAATAAACATTTTCATTTTCATTAGTAAAGTCAGAGGCGCCAACAGTGAAACGCTTGCAATAATAATAATAATAATATCTTTATTTCTACAAGTACATGTACAAGGTACTATATACAGGCCTAACTGACATCAATGACATATAGTGGACCTTCGGTTATAGGATGTTCCTGATATCAGCCAAATAGGTTATCGCCTGTTTTTTTTGGCCGAAATTTTATTCCGGTTATCGGCCGTTATTCCGCTTATCGACTGTATTGGACGCATCCACCTGCCTGCCCACCAGCCGCTCACGTGTTCGTGAGTCAGTCTGGCTGTGTCTCTGGGCAAGTGAGGAAACTTCTGCTCATTCATCCAAACATTTTGCTATAATCCATTGTTTTTTGTGGTTACTGATTAAGTGCAACTGCGAAATAAGCAACCACAGGCCCAAAGAAAGTTTCTAGTAAAGTTCCTTTGGTAAAGAAAGTGAGAAACAAAGTATGAGAGTAAAGGAGGAAGAGAGAGGGGAGAATGTGCCTTCTTCATTGACTCAATGATTCTACGATATGTATGATACTAAAGCAGCAAAAGTCGATAAAACTAAAGCACCAGCCAGTGATAAAATGTAGCATAAACAGTGCAGCAAGTAAGTTAGGTGATTAAGTGATAGAGAAAGGACAACACGAAACTGACTCCTCCAATGTTGTTGGAGGTATATAGGGCCACTGACAATATATGCCACCCTGCCTTTCTTCCACCACCCTAAACCAATGCCAGCATCTCCTCCAAGGTAAGTGTAAATCTTTCTTATTTATAAAGTGTAAATATTTTTTATTTATAAATTAAAGTGTAAATATTTCTTTAGAAATTATGTATTGTTTGTGTGAATAGTGGTGGTGGCCTCTAATGCCATCTCCACTACCACTAATATGTATGGCTTATGCTCTCAATGGCCCTTATAACCCAACACCACCACCACTCCACATACAAAATGACATATGTTATTCATTCTAGAGTACATATCATGTTTCTGTGCTATTAATATTGTTTATGTCATAGTAGATGAATTGTGACAGATAAATAAGCTGTAGAGTTGATAATACTGTCATATTTAAGCATTCTGTCTTGCCTCCCTCTCCGCTCCTAGCCGTTTTGCATACGCCAACAAGAATCTTCAATAGAGGTAAAAGTGATTTAAATGTTCACCTATCCATTTCATTAGTCATTTTATTTAGTTCTCATTGTTTTGTGTATGTAAAACTATAGTTAATCTTTAAAAATGTATTTTTTTTTAATATTTTTGGGTGTCTGAAACGGATTAATTGGATTTACATTAATTCTTATGGGATATATTATTTCGGATTTTGGCCATTTTGGTATTAGGCCAACCTTCTGGAACGGATTATGGCTGATAACTGAGGGTCCACTGTACTACTACATAGAAAGCCGCTTGTTGCAGAGCATTTTGGGCAAATTAGGTCAGTATTGTCCCAGGATGCGACCCACGCCAGTCGGCTAACACCCAGATACCCATTTTATACTTATGGGTGAACAAGGACAGCAGGTGTCTTATGGAAACAAGCCCTAATGTTTTACCAGCCGTACCGGAGATTCAAACTCTGGACCTTAGTGTGTGAGCTGAGTGACCTAGCAATCGAGCTAAGGGACACGGGACTATGGGATAGGTAAGGATACGCATAAACACAGTTACATAGATTATCATACATAGGAGCATATGTGTATATTACTTACCATAACCCCATAAAATTCAGACAAGGTACAACACTCCCAATCTTTTCCTCATTCTCCTACCTGACAGAGATGTAAGCCATAGTACCATGTCTTCAATGCATGACATTGTCATCCACTGAGGACACTGCAAATCTCCAGGTATACCTGGAAAGGGTTTTGGAGGTCAACACCCCACCGGCCCGGTCTGTGACCAGGCCTCGTGGTGGGTCTGGGTCTGATCAACCAGGCTGTTATTTCTGGGTGCATGCAAGCCAACGTAAGAACCACAGCTTAGCTGGTAAGGTATGGACTTTAGATGCCTGTCCATTGCCTTCTTGAAAACTGCCAGGGGTCTATGTATGATACACGCAATACACGCAAATATAAACCCCCACTCAAACTTTTCCTCACCAACCTAAACAGGACACATGACCACAACACAAGACACAGATCTCTTTTTGATATACCTCGTGTCCATATCACACTGTGTAAAAACTCTATGCACGTAAAGGGCCCCAAAATATGGAATTCATTACCAGAAGATATTAAAGTAACCCAGTCTGAAAATCAATTTAAGACTCTTCTCAAAAGCCACTTAATCACCATAGACTAAATGCTAAATACTCAGTATACATTTACTCACCTATGTACTACCACATCATAACTTCAACAATCACATTGAACCTTTTCTCCATTGTTGACAAGAATATAATTGAATCATTGTTTTTCACAAAAGCATTTTAGAATATAAATACGTACATCTTTGTATTATACAAATTTTGATTCATTTATAATAAATATTCTACTGTACAACTATGAAATAATTACTTTCCTACTGTACAACTATGATATACTACTCCTTAGTATTAAGTAGACTGTAAGCCAATAATGTTAAGTTGGCCCATAATGCCAAGGCATTGTAGAGGCTCTCTTTGCATTGCAACCCACTATAAATCAACATAAATCTCCTGCAAGACCAGGACCCACACGTTACTGAATTCACAAACACAATGAGTAACCGCATGTTGCTACCAACAGTAACAAAACCTACAAGAGTTACAGAGACTAGTGTTTCCCTATTTGACCACATCTGGACCAACAGCATTGTTACGACTTAATCTTCACCGTAACAATAGGGGCACAAATAACTCCATTTTTTTTTTTGTTAGTCTTATTTTATTACCAATCATTTAGCTTCATTGGTATTTGGTTAGTGAATTAAAATAACCACAAGCAATTATAAATGAAATACTATACAGCTAGAAACCCAATCTTACGTTCAAATTCTCATTAACAGAGTATAATACAATAATTCCAATTAATAATCTACTAATCTCACCATTTAACTCTTTTAGAAAGGTCTGAGGTAACGAGATAGTTATCTTTCATAAGTGACATGAATTACCAGACTTCAGGAAACTAATGGCAAAGGCAAGACAATAGACGTGGTTTAAAGTTTTAGTTTAAGCTAGGAGCTTTGGGTTGAAGACCCGTACCGAGTCAGAGCTAGGAGCTGACTGACTCACTCAACTACTCCATAGTATGACTTCAGCTCGGCCAGAAGGCGACGCGTGGCGTCAATTCTAGAACCACCAATTGGTCACTACAGTAGTGGTTACACATTCGTAATACCTAACCTAATAATAATATAATACAATATAATACAATGAGAGTACTTTTGATGATTCATACTGTACCCGATAATAATATATAGTCGAACCTGCTTTATCTAGCTAGTAATAAAGTGGTTTGCGATATATTATTACAGAACTTATTTTGTGTGTGATGAATGGTTTTGAAAACCGACAAGTTGAAGAATTGAGACACTTATGCAACACATGGGAATCTTTATTGAAGAAACGTTTCGCCACACAGTGGCTTCATCAGTCCAATACAAAGTAGAAATGGGAAAGGAGAGTAGAAGTATGAGGTAATCAGTCCCTCAACCTGGATTCGATGTGTTCAACTTGTCGGTTTTCAAAACCATTCATCACATCTGTCAGACACTGCAACATCATGGAATCTTGGTACAAAGACTTCAACGCTTGCCCAAACCTTTGGACGATGACCTACTTACATTAGTGGCAGGTCCCACTAAGATCCCGCCTCCTCCTGCTTCAACTCATCTCACCGCAGTATATAAGCCACCTCTCTGGCCCTATGCTGCACTTACTACAAGAGTGATGGACTGAACACATCGAATCCAGGTTGAGGGACTGATTACCTCATACTTCTACTCTCCTTACCCATTTCTACTCTGTATTGGACTGATGAAGCCACTGTGTGGCGAAACGTTTCTTCAATAAAGATTCCCATGTGTTGCATAAGTGTCTCAATTCCAGAACTTATTTTAACCCGGCCTTTTATTTTTGTATATAATGGAGTGAAGTAGGGGCGCATAACAAGCATATCCCCTTTAAAATCAGGCATAATTACAGATAATACCACAGACCACTACCCTACTTTCCTCATAACAACTCTTGGTAAATTACCCCAAGACACTACTCTTGTAACCTTCAGATTCAAATAGGCAGCCATTAAAAAATTTCACAACAGCAGTAACAACATTGACTGGCACACGAGTAAAATTATCAGATTGAGAATGTATTAAAAAATTTTCTAAAAAAGCCCCAAATACCTTTAACAAGCACGCCCTAAAAAAAAAAAAAACAGATGACAGCTAAAGATGAACAGTCCCTCTAACCCCCAGTTTCTCAAATCCAAAAATAAAAAACACCATATGAAAAAATACAGAAGGGACAAACCGAGACCAAAAAAACGTTATCGTCATCAACCGTCTGATAAAAGGGGCAAAAAAATTTTGATTATGAGAACAGATTATCCAACTTACGGGTGATTTTAAAAAAGACCGGGAAGCCCCAAAATCAGAAATTCTGGGAAAAAAAAAGATATCCGACATGAAAAAAAAATTACAAAAAAGATGAACCCCCAAACTCCCA